ACAATGCTCCAATGAGCCATCACAATACTCCTGTATGTTTTGAAAATGCTTCATTTTGACATGATAATACTCAGTGTGCAATAACAATGCACTAATGAATCATCACAATGCTGAATGTTGCTTCACAATGCCCAACGTGCCATATCAATGCTACACTGTGACATCACAATGCTCAGTGTGTCCACATAGTGTTCCAGTGTGACATCACAATGCTCAATGTACCATCACTCTCCTCCAATGTGTTATCACAATGCTCAAATGTGCCATCTCTATGCTCAGTGTGCCATAACAGTGCACCAATGTGTTATCATAATGTTCCTATGTGCTATCACAATACCCCAATGTACCATAACAATATTCAATATGTCATCACAATGCTTCTATGTGTAATCATAATGTTTGAATGTGCTCTCATCTCCTGGTTTGCTATCACGATGCACCAATATGATATCACAACACTCAAATATGTCTTAAGACTGCCCCACTGTGACATCATAAAGCTCCAATATGTCTTCACAATGCTCCATTGTGCCATCCCAATGCTCCAAATTGTTAAGGGTATGCTCTAGTTGATATCACCATTCTCCAATGTGTCATCACAATTTCCCAAAGAGACAGCACAGTGCTCAGGTGCCATCACAATGCTCAAATATGTCACAACAATGTTCAGTGCGTCCAATTACAATGCTCCAATATGTCTTAAAAATGCTCCATTTTGACATCACATGCCTCAGGGTGCCTTAACAATGGACCAATGAGTAATCACTATGTTCCACGTTCCTTCAGAATGCCCCAAAGTGCCGTCACAATGCTCCAATGTGACACCAAAATACAGCAATGTGTCATCACAATGCTCCAATGTGACATCACAGTGCTCAGTGTGCAATCACAGTGCCCGAGTGTGTCATCGCAATGCTCATTGTGCCAAAACTCTCCTGCAATGTGTCATCATAATGCTCAAATGTGACATCCCAATGGTAAGTGTGCTATAACAGTGCATCAATATGTCATCACAATGCCCCAATGTACCACAACAATGTTCAATAGGCCATCACAATACTGCAATATGGAATCGGAATGTTTCAGTGTGCCCTCAAATCCCAACTGTGACATCTCAGTGGCCCAAGATTCCATCACAATGCTCAAATATATTGCTCCAAAGTTACATCACAATGTAAAAATATGACTTCAAAATGTTCTATTGTGACATTACAATGGTCCAATATTATATAACAATGTTGCATTACGAATTCCCAATGTTCCATTGTGACATCACTGTGCTCCAGTGTGACATCGCAATGCTCCAGTGTTTCAATGTGCCATCACAATGTTACAATATGAATTCACAATGTTCCATTGTGACTTCAAAATGATACAATGTGACATCACAGTGCATCAATGTGCCAACACTATCACCCCATGTGTTATCACAATACTCTATTGTGCCATCACAATGTTACAATATGACTTCAAAATGTTCCATTGTGACATCAAAATGCTCCATTGTGACTTCACAATGCTCCAATGTGTCATCACAATGCACGAATGTGACATCAAAATATTCCAAAATGGCATTCAGAGTGTTACAATATGACTTCACAATATGCAATTTTGACTTCACAATGCTTTAATATGACACCACAATGCTCCAATGTACCAACACAAACGCCCCAGGTGCCATTATATTTCTCCAATGTTTCATCACAATGTTACAATATGCCTTCACAATGTTCCCTTGTCACATCACAATCCTCAAATGTAACATCACAATGCTCCATGGTGCCATCACACTGATACACTACGACTTTGCAATGCTCCATTTTGAAGTCACATTACTCCAATGTGCTAACACTATCACCTTCTCAAATGGGAGCATTGTGATGTCACAATGGAAAATTTAGAAGTTATATTGTAACACTCTCATGGCACCTTGGAGCCATATAATGGCACAATAGGCTATAGTGTTCACACATTGGAGTATTGTGATGTCATATTGAGCATTGTCACGTCACAATGCAACATTTTGAAGTCATATGATGGCACATAGGAGCACTGTGGTCTCAAATGGGAGCATTGTGATGTCACAATAGAGGTCCAGCGGTCCCAGGGCCACACGCTGGAGACATCCCATCACCCGCCCGGCTGAGCCAACATGGAACAGGGCCTGGGAAAAATATCCAAAAAGAAGCCGAAGCCGGCAAAAATATCCAAAAAGAAGCTGGGGCCGGCAAAGAGCAGCCAGCAGCCCGGGCACACCCTGATCCGAGAGTGTGGACAAGGAGAGAGGGGCCCGGCCAGCATCCCTGATCAGATAGGGCCCAGGCTAAAAACCCCAGAAAGGGGGAGAAGCCTGGGCCCTCCAGAGAGGAGCAAAGAGAAGCCAGGGCTATTCTGTGACGCAATGGCAGCCAGGACCGAAAAAAACAGAACAGACAAACCAAAAGACAAAGATGCCCAGGCTGAACAAGGCAAAGGGCCCAGGCAAAAACCCTGCAAAACAGGAGCCGGCAGCCACCGTGGAACGCACAGCAGCCCTGGACAACAATGTCCCCACGAAGCCCCGGCTGAGGTGGTGGGGCCGGGGCTGAGCAAGGACAGGACAGTGCCCAGGCAAAGAGTCAGAAGACAGAAGCCAGGGCCCCAACACGTAACGCAAAACAGCACGGGCCCATCCCCAACCGGCCCATGCCCGATGGAGCGACCGACCGACAGACCGACCCCAAGCCACCCCCATGCAGGGAACAGAGCCTTGGCTCCGCATCAGTGGACTAGGGCCCAGGCTGAAAAGTCTGAAGGGAGAAGCCTGGGCCCTATCCGATCAGGGATGGTCAACTGGGCCCCTCTGTCCTTGTCCACACTCCGGGGTCAGAATGTGCCTGGGATGCTGGCTGCTCTTTGCCTTCCCTTCCTCCCTCCCAGACTACCTCCCCGCCTGCCTCCCTCCCTCCGTCCCTCCTCCCGGGGGAGGGACGGAGAGAGGGAGCTGGGGAGGGGGGTGAGGGAGGGAGGGGGCGTG